CCTCTATCTGGGGCTCCACGCAAGATCTCACCCCGTGGGGTCAAAATGATCACAAGAACGGTGAGCAAAAATCCCACCCCACCACACGGGGGGACCTAGTGAATGACCTGCAGAGAGCTGGGACCAATGTAACAAAGGCTACCATCAGTAACACACTACGCCGCCAGGGACTCAATCCCAAAAAACCAGACGTGTCCCCCCTGCTTAAGCCAGTACATGTCCGGGCCCAAAAGTTTGCTAAAAGAGCATTTGGATGATCCAGAAGAGGATTGGGAGAATGTATATGGTCAGATGAAACCAAAATAAAAACTGTTTGGTAGAATCAAAAACCAAAACTCGTGTTTCCCCCCAGAGAGAATGCCTCCCATCCAAAACCCCACCAAAAACCCCCACATTCCTACCCATACCTTACCTTTCCCCCACTCCAAACACCCAAACCATCACATACACAAAAGCACCCCAAAAATCCAACCCCACCTTTCCAATGTTTCCCACCCCCCAACCCATCACAATCCATGTACAGGACAACATCAAAAATGTATCGTACTATTTAAAAACAGTGCAAACCTCCTTCAAATCACAAGGGCATTGAAGAAAAAAAAAAACAACCTGGGTCTTCCAACATGACCCCCATCAAAAAACCAAAACAACCCCGGGCAACGAAGGAGTGGCTTCGTAAAACCATTTCAAGGTCCAAAAAACAACCTAGCCAGTCTCCAAAAATCTCAACCCCATACACCAAATCTTTGGAGGGAGTTACAAAGTCCAAAACCCCCCCCCAGCGACAGCCCCACCCCAATCTTTATCATCCTATTAAACCCAAACAAACCCCCTCCCAACCATAAAAAACCCCCCCCCCAACAACCCCCCCCCAAAAACCCCCAACAAAATCAAAACCCCAAACAAACCCCCAAACAACAAAACCCCCCAAAAAATCATCCCAATACCCCCCCATCCAAAAACACATTCAACCCCAAAAAAATCAAACAAAAAAAATCCCCCATAAAAAACCACAACCCCCAAAACCCCAGCCCCAACAAAATTAAAACACAATGTCAAACCCCCCCCCCCATACCCATACACAAAAACAAAACCCAACAATCACCCCAACAAACCCCCCCCCCTCCTCACACAAAAAAATAAAAAGAACTTGCAACCCCCAACACAACTCACTAAACCCCCCCATAAAACCCCACCCCACCCCAAAACACCCACCCCCCCCACCCAAATCCCCTATAATTCCCCCATCCCCACAGTAGTATTCCCCCCCCACTAACTAACAAACACAAATACAACCCCCAGGGCTGACACATTTCAATTCACAACCCCTCAAACTGTTGTCAAAATGTGTGTTCCCCAACTTCCCACCCCCCCCCCTCCAACCCAAAAATACATTTACCAACCCCCCCACACAAAAAAAAAAAACCCAAAATACCCCATTTACCCCCAAAAATTCCCAAAACCCCACCCCCCCCCCACACCCCCCCTTAATACCCCCCCATTTTTCCCCAAAAAAAAAACCCCCCACCCCACCCAAAACCCCCCCCACCATCACACCAAAAAAAACACCCACAAAAAAACCCCCCAAAACCCCCCCCCATTCAAACCTTTACACTACAAACTCCTTACCCCAAAAACCAAAACCCACCCAACCCCACAACCCCCCCCCCACCCACCCCACCAAACAAAACCCCATCCCCCAAACCCCCCCCCACCCCCTAACCCCCTAAACCCCAAAATCTGTACAAATACCCCCCCCCCCCCCCCCCCCAAACCCCCCCCCCCCCATACCCCACCCTTACCCCCCCCCCCCCCCCCCCCCCCCCCCCCCCATATCCCCAAAACATACCCAAACTAAGTGTTTCCAAATAAAAACCACCCCCCCCCCCCAACCCCTCCACAAAACCCCAACCCCCCCCAAACTTTTCAACCAATACCCCCAAATCCAACCCCCAACCCCCCCCCCCCCCCCCCCCACAATTCCCACCCCCAACCCCCCCCCAACCCCCCCCCCAAAACCCCCCCCCCCCCCCCCCCCCCCCACCCCCCCCAACACCCCCCCCCCCCCCCCCCACCCCACCAAAACCCCCCCCAAACCCCCCCCCACAAACCCCCCCAAAAATAACCCAAATTTTATATAACCCCCAAAAGTACCACAAAAAACCAAAACCAAACCCACCCCCAAAAAAAAACCCCCCCCCCCCCCCCCCTGGGGCCCCAACCATAATAACCCACCCCCCCACACCCAATAAACAAATAACCACCAAACAAAAAACCCTGCCCCCCATAACCCCCCAAACACAACAAAACTCCCCCCTAAACCTCCAATCCCTCAAACAAACCCACAAAAAACCCCAAAAACCCCAAAAAATATAAAAACCTAACACCAAACACTCTACCCCCAACAAAACCCGGTTCCCCCCCCCTACCCCCAAAAAAAAAAAAACCACCCCCCCCCCCCAAAACAAACCCCCCCCCAAAACCCAAACCAAAACACAACCCCAGCTCCCAGTGTGTCCTGTCCCCCCAACCCCCACTCAAAAACCAAAAAACCCATAACCCAAAAAACACCCCCCCCCAAACCAAACCCCCCACCCCACAACCCAAACAAACAAAATCATGGAGGGGTCTGACAAAAAACACACAATTGTAAACATTCCAACTCAGAGACAGAACCAAAAAAAACCCCCAGGAAATCCCATTGTATGATTTGTCAAAACAATTTATTTTGTCAACACAACAACAGAAGTATTTGAACAACACAACAAAGATCCACACAAAAAATTCAACCCCCACCCCCTTTGTCCACATCTTACAACCCACTCCAGAACCTTGATATGCTTCTTACGGAGCCACCACAAAAACCTTCGGGTCGTTTGTCAACCCCAGACCCATCCATGACCCGTCTTCAATGCTCTGACTGAGGGAAGGAGGTTGTTGCTCAAAATCTCACAATAAATGGCCCCATTCATCCTCTCCTTACACACAGTGCAGTCGTTCTCCCCTTCACAGAAAAGCCACACCCCCAAAGCATGATGTTACCACCCCCATGCTTCACAGTAGGGATGGTGTTCTTGGCATGCAACTCATCCTTTTTCCTTTTTCCTCCAACAAACGACGATTGAAGTTTAGACCAAAAAGTTCTACTTTGGTCTCATCTGACCACATGACTTTCTCCCATGCCTCCTCCAGAATTCTTGCTGTTTCTTAGGTGTTCAAATACTTCTGTTCAGCAGTGCAAGACAAATACATTCTTTAAAAATCATACAATGTGATTTCCTGAATTTTTTTTTAAATACTGTCTCAGAAAAATTTCAGACCCCTCCATGATTTCTAAGTGGGAGAACTTGCAAAATCGCGGGGGTTCAAATACTTCTGTTCTTCCCTGTGTATATATATATATATATATATATATATATATATATAACATTCCTGTCTATACTTGCTGGGATCATGTTCCTGTAGTCAGGTAGACTCTTCAGATGATCCCATGGTCCAGTGATGTAGAAACATTTCCTTCCTCATGATGGTGGTTGTTAGGGATGGTTTTACAAAGAAATGGTGGCCGGGAACCTGCTACTGCCAAGTCATAAAGGAGTCTGAATTTATCAGCTACAAAGGTGCAATCTGTAAAACCACCAATATATTTCAAAGGTGGCTACTGGCTAGGAGTACACAGAAAAACTTGCCTGCTCACTGGTATAGCTGAAGATAACAGGATGGGGTTGGCAGAATCTGAACACGGTCATACCTTAATCTCTCCGTATGTTAACTACCGTATTTTTCGCTCCATAAGACGCACCTAGGTTTTAGAGGCAAAAAACAGGAAAAAAAAATTCTGAACCAATGGATTGCAGACATAGTACAGGAGATGACAAGAGACTGCGGACACAGTACAGATGACCAGAGACTGCGGACACAGTACAGATGACCAGAGACTGCGGACACAGTACAGGAGATGACCAGAGACTGCGGACATAGTACAGGAGATGATCAGAGACTGCGGACATAGTACAGGAGATGACCAGAGACTGCGGACACAGTACAGGAGATGACCAGAGACTGCGGACATAGTACAGATGACCAGAGACTGCGAACATAGTACAGGGGATGACCAGAGACTGCGGACATAGTACAGGAGATGACCAGAGACTGCGGACATAGTACAGGGATTGACCAGAGACTGCAGACACAGTACAGGATGACCAGAGACTGCGGACATAGTACAGGAGATGACCAGAGACTGCGGACACAGTACAGGGGATGACCAGAGACTGCGGACATAGTACAGGATATGACCAGAGAGGGATGACCAGAGACTGCGGACACAGTACAGGGATGACAGAGAGACTGCGGACACAGTACAGGATATGACCAGAGACTGCGGACACAGTACAGGGGATGATGACCAGAGACTGCGGACACAGTACAGGAGATGACCAGAGACTGCGGACACAGTACAGGATATGACCAGAGACTGCGGACACAGTACAGGAGATGACCAGAGACTGCGGACATAGTACAGGAGATGACCAGAGACTGCGGACACAGTACAGGAGATGACCAGAGACTGCGGACACAGTAGTACAGATGACCAGAGACTGCGGACATAGTACAGGAGATGACCAGAGACTGCGGACATAGTACAGGAGATGACCAGAACTGCGGAATGCGACTGCGGACATAGTACAGGAGATGACCAGAGACTGCGGACACATAGTACAGGAGATGACCAGAGACTGCGGACATAGTACAGGAGATGACCAGAGACTGCGGACATAGTACAGGAGATGACCAGAGACTGCGGACATAGTACAGGAGATGACCAGAGACTGCGGACACAGTACAGGCGATGACCAGAGACTGCGGACAGTACAGGAGATGACCAGAGACTGCGGACACAGTACAGGAGATGACAGAGACTGCGGACACAGTACAGGAGATGACCAGAGACTGCGGACACAGTACAGGAGATGACCAGAGACTGCGGACACAGTACAGGAGATGACCAGAGACTGCGGACACAGTACAGGAGATGACCAGAGACTGCGGACACAGTACAGGAGATGACCAGAGACTGCGGACACAGTACAGGAGATGACCAGAGACTGCGGACACAGTACAGGAGATGACCAGAGACTGCGGACACAGTACAGGAATGACCAGAGACTGCGGACACAGTACAGGGATGACCAGAGACTGCGGACACAGTACAGGAGATGACCAGAGACTGCGGACACAGTACAGGAGATGACCAGAGACTGCGGACACAGTACAGGAGATGACCAGAGACTGCGAACACAGTACAGGAGATGATCAGAGACTGCGGACACAGTACAGGAGATGACCAGAGACTGCGGACACAGTACAGGAGATGACCAAGACAGGGACATAGTACAGGGATCCAATACTGCAGGGACACAGTACAGATGACCAGAGACTGCAGACAGTGCAGGGGATGACCAGAGACTGCAGACAGTACAGGAGATGACCAGAGACTGCTGGCCTTTGGGGAGGGAGGGGGAGCAGGTACCTGAATTTGACAGGTACCCGCTCCCACTTCCGCGGAGTTGTCCTTCTCTCTTCTTCCCGCACCGGCTTCTGTGACAGCCGGGTGCCCACTGCACATGTGCGAGAAGCGCTGCGCTTTGTGAATGGCCCGGCGCCTTCTGGGACCTGTCATGTGTCCCAGAAGACACCGGACCATTCACAAAGCGCAGCACATGCGCAGTGGGCACCCGGCTGTCACAGAAGCCGCCGCAGGAAGACTGTACAGCTGGAGCGAGGAACAGGTAAGGCCCTGCAGGAGAGAACAGCTGAGCGGCCGGCCCGGTGTTCTGACATGGTGGCGGCAGAAATACCGGACCGGCCGCTTTATATTCGTTCCATAAGACGCACTGACATTTCCCCCCCTTTTTTGGGGGGAAAAAGTGCGTCTTATGGAGCGAAAAATACGGTAATTTCTCACTTAAACCTGAAACAATTGACTACTGATGTGATACTTTTTTAATTTGCACTAACATACAATTTTGAGGACAAGCTTTCGGGGTATGTCCCTTTCTACAAGCTCTACGCAGTTGAGTACTGCCTGGACCTTGAAGAAGGGGACATACCCCGAAAGCTTGTCCTCAAAATTGTACAGTGGGGCAAAAAAGTATTTAGTCCCCACCAATTGTGCAAGTTCTCCCACTTACAAAGATGAGAGAGGCCTGTAATTGGCATCATAGGTAGACCTCAACTATGAGAGACAAAATGAGAAAACAAATCCAGACAATCACATTGGCTGATCTGGAAAGAATTTATTTGCAAATTATGGTGGAAAATAAGTATTTGGTCACCTACAAACAAGCAAGATTTCTGGCTCTCACAGACCTGTACCTTCTTCTTTAAGAGGCTCCTCTGTCCTGCACTCATTATGAAGAAATTCATAACTCAGTCTATTTGTGCAATCTCATACTGTGACCTGTGGTATCAGTGACACCTACTGGTGACAATGAGAAATGCACAACCCAACTGAGTTTAGGGGAATGTCAAATAAAGAAACTGTACAATCAATTTGCGCTAACTACAACCCAGCCAAAAACTACATTGGCAAAGTAGCCCCGGTTTAGGACCCGGGGGCTACAAATACCAAAAGCAGAACTAAACTCTTTCAATCAATATTATCTATCTTTCATTTACATATATATATATTGTGGTTTTTTAGGTGGTCTACTGACAGCCATAGCTGTCAGCTATAACCCCGGTATTTTTGCAGCAGCTGCCGCTCTTTCTTTTAACCTTCTTGGCGGTATTCCCAAGTGTAGCTCGAGGTAAAATTTCAGTACCAAGAGCGGTAACCCCGAGCTTACCATGCGCGCGTTCTCCGGGGTGTCCCTGCAGCACTTACCTTGCCCTTCGCTCCCACGATGTGTCCCCTGCAGCGTCCCCAGCCATCTCCTCCGGCGATGCTGGCTTCCGTGTTCCGGTCCCTGTGACGTCGGGACGTACGGCGGGAAATTTGAAATTTTTTAAAAAATGTCATTTTTGCTGTCATTGCTGTTTCAATGCATTTCACATACATTGTGTCCCGAGTGCTTTGTCCGGCGCCCTGCCTGCATTTTACTGTTCTTTCTGCCTGGAAACTGAGAAACGTCCATGGCGTCCAAAAAGCGTCCCTTTAGGTCAGACGTGGTTTTAGACCGGCTAGAGAACAGCGATAGTAAATCAGAACCACTTGCAGAATTGAGTGATAATGATTTGTGGGGGAAATTCCTCATCAGACACTGAAAACGATTCTGCGACTGAGCTCAGCGATGTGCGAACTTGGGCGCTATATTTCACATTTCAGTGTTTTTGGTTTGATTATATTATTGAATTACATTTATTATTATTATATTATTATTTTTTATGATTATTTATTAAATTATAATTTATGATTTCAAGTTTCAAGTTTTGTCATCCCCGGGATGTTTACTAGACTCTTGTTCGGACAGATTTCAGTGAGTTGTTCCTAAAAATTACAGCCTACAATAAAAAAACTACATATTTCCATGAAAAATAATGTACCGCTTTCAGCACAAAAAATCGGAAATAATCATACCGCCAGGGGAGGTTAAAAGTGGTCCAAGTAGTGGATTTGCCACTGATTAACCTTTAGAAGCAATGGGAGAGGACACCCCCCCTGCCTCATTTCGGTAGTTTGGGGGCTTTCCTGCCTGACCCCTGGAACCAATTCAGCACTGGCAGTGGCTGGTCATAAAAATGGGATGAAGATAAGATGGCCACCACCCATCTCGATGGCCTAGGAGAACCAGAGTGACACCATGACGTCCCTTCCGTTTCTGGATCAATGTTAAAGCCATTTTTGTTTTCTCAAAGCAAAAGATCAAAACTTTTTTTGCTTTTAAAAGGTAGAACAGAGATTTGGGGTCTTATAGACCCCAGATCTTTCCATAAAGAGGACCTGTCGTGCTGTATTGTTATCGCAAGGGATGTTTACATTTCTTGCAATAACAATAAAAGTGATTTAAGAAAATTAAAGGTACAGTGCAAAAAGAAAAAATGTAATAAAATAAATAATAATAAAATTGTTTAAAACACCCCCCCCCCCCCATGTTTCGTGCAGTGGTAAATGCATATGTAGGTCACGCCCACATACAGTGGGGATCGAAAGTTTGGGCACCCCAGTTAAAAATTTGTATTAATGTGCATAAAGAAGCCAAGGAAAGATGGAAAAATCTCCAAAAGGCATCAAATTACAGATTAGACATTCTTATAATATGTCAACAAAAGTTAGATTTTATTTCCATCATTTACACTTTCAAAATAACAGAAAACAAAAAAATGGCGTCTGCAAAAGTTTGGGCACCCTGCAGAATTTATAGCATGCACTGCCCCCTTTGCCAAGCGGAGACCTGCCAGTGTCTTGGATTGTTCTCAATCATCGTCTGGGAAGACCAGGTGATGTCAATCTCAAAGGTTTTAAATGCCCAGACTCATCTGACCTTGCCCCAACAATCAGCACCATGGGTTCTTCTAAGCAGTTTGTCTAGAAAACTGAAACTGAAAGAAAATAGTTGACACTCACAAAGCTGGAGAAGGCTATAAGAAGATAGCAAAGCGTTTTCAGATGTCAATATCCTCTGTTCGGAATGTAATTAAGAAATGGCAGTCATCAGGAACAGTGGAAGTTAAAGCAAGATCTGGAAGACCAAGAAAAAATATCAGACAGAACAGCTCGCAGGATTGTGAGAAAAACAATTCAAAACCCACATTTGACTGCACGATCCCTTCAGAAAGATCTGGCAGACACTGGAGTTGTGGTCACTATTCCACTATAAAGAGATACTTGTACAAATATGGTCTTCATGGAAGAGTCATTAGAAGAAAACCTCTTCTACATCCTCACCACAAAAATCATCGTTTGATCTTTGCAAATGAACATATAGACAAGCCTGATGCATTTTGGAAACAAGTTCTGTGGACCGATGAGGTTAAAATTGAGCTTTTTGGCCGGAATGAGCAAAGGTACGTTTGGAGAAGAAGGGGCACAGAATTTAATGAAAAGAACCTCTGTCCAACTGTTAAGCATGGGGTTGGATCAATCATGCTTTGGGTTGTGTTGTGTTGTGTTGCAGCCAGTGGCACAGGGAACATCTCACGAGTAGAAGGAAAAATGGATTCAATAAAATTTCAGCAAATTTTGGATGGTAACTTGATGCCATCTGTGAAAAAGCTGAAGTTAAAGAGAGGATGGCTTCTACAAATGGATAATGATCCTAAACACACCTCGAAATCCATGGGGGATTACATCAAGAGGCGTAAACTGAAGGTTTTGCCATGGCCTTCACAATCTCCTGACCTCAACATAATTGAAAATCTATGGATAGACCTTAAAAGAGCCGTGCGTGACAGTGATCAGACAGCCCAGAAATCTCAAAGAACTGGAAGACTTTTGTAAGGAAGAATGGGCAAAGATACCTCAAACAAGAATTGAAAGACTCTTGGCTGGCTACAAAAAGCGTTTACAAGCTGTGATACTTGCCAAAAGGGGGCAGTACAAGATATTAACTCTGCAGGGTGCCCAAACTTTTGCAGACGCTATTTTTTTGTTTTCTGTTATTTTGAAAGTGTAAATGATGGAAATAAAATCTAACTTTTGTTGACATATTATAAGAATGTCTAATCTGTAATTTGATGCCTTTTGGAGATTTTTCCATCTTTCCTTGGCTTCTTTATGCACATTAATACAAATTTTTTAGCTGGGGTGCCCAAACTTTCCATCCCCACTGTATGTAAACTATGTTGTCATCACACATGTAAGGCATTCCCGTGACTGTCAGAGCGAGAGCCATAATTCTAGCACTAGATCTCCTCTGTAACTTTAAATTTGTAACCAGTAGAAATTTTTAAAGTGTCGGTTATGGAGAGTTTTAAGTTCCGTAATTTACCACCATTCCACAAGCATGCACAATTGTAAATCATGACGTGTTAGGTATCTCTTTACTCGGCGTAACATCATCTTTCATATTTTATGAAAAAATGTGGGTATATAATATGTTTTGGGTTTTTTTTTTAATTCATGAAAGTGTATTTTTTCCCAAACAATTGCATTTAAAAAAACCGCTGCGCAACAACCGTACGACATAAAAAATTTGCAATCACCACCATTTTATTCTCTAGAGCCTCTGCTAAAAATATATATCATGTTAGGGGGTTCTAAGTCATTTAGATTTGATTTTTACTTGTAAACAAAGAGTGTCAGAGAAAGGCCCGGTCTTCGGGTGGTCACAGAAGATGGCACAGATAGAAAATGCTAGGGAGGTGTATTAGTCTCTGTTCAGAATCTCCCATCAACTGTCATACTGACTGACGCTCACTGCCACACCTAATATCTCACAACTGTCATACTGACTGGCGTCACTGCCACACCTAATATCTCACAACTGTCATACTGACTGACATCACTGCCACACCTAATATCTCACAACTGTCATACTGACTGGACGTCACTGCCACACCTAATATCTCACAACTGTCATACTGACTGACATCACTGCCACACCTAATATCTCACAACTGTCATACTGACTGACGTCACTGCCACACCTAATATCTCACAACTGTCATACTGACATCACTGCCACACCTAATATCTCACAACTGTCATACTGACGTCACTGCCACACCTAATATCTCACAACTGTCATACTGACTGACGTC